AAAGATTGTTTTGTTTTTTTGTTAAGATTATCTTAATAAAAAAAATGATTCTTCAGTGGCTGTTTCCACACACAAATCTTCATTAAGATGAAGTTGAGATTGCAGTCAGTTATATGCAGTTTCAGTGGATATTACCTTCCAAGAATGGAAGAGGAAATAAGTAAATAAATAAACCCTCAATTGTTAGAAACCTAGGATGTCCCAATCTATTCTAAGGCTTGTCTACATTACCCACTGGATTGACAGGCAGCGATCAATCCAGCGGGGGTCGATTTATCGCGTCTAGTCTAGACACAATAAATCGACCATCGAGCACTTGTCCATCGACTCCGGTACTCCACCAGGGCGAGAGGCACAGGCGGAGTTGACGGTAGAGCATCATCTGTCGACCTACTGCAGTGAAGACACCATAGTAAATAAATCTAAGTATGAAGACTTCAGCTACGTTATTCATGTAGCTTAAGTTGTGTAACTTAGATTAGATCGCCCCCGCAGTGTAGACCAGGCCTAACTCTGCTCCATATTGATGCCTTCCTAGCTTATACCATGTCAAAGATGTGCATCACAGAACATTGCTTTTATAATGTTTTTCATATGTACATGTCTCTGTATTAAGTGTAATGATAATGTCACCACACTAACTTCTGCTCTTTTTGTGCAAGTACGTTAATAGGAATATGAGATTTATGTATGGAGACATGTGTAATGACATGGATAATTGGCTGCCACAGGGCCAAATCTCATGGGCGCTGAGCACTCCTGTGAGGCACTGAGGCCTAGATCCTCAAAGGTATTTAGGTGAGTTGGCTGCCTAAACACCTTTCAGTGTCTGGGCCTGAATTCCCTTAGTGGTTTTCAGGATCAGGCCCTTACTTCAGGCCCTTTAGCATGTTATGTTGGAATTTGTAAATAATAATACAAGTGTCTGTGTCTGTGTTTGTGCACATTGTAGATGTCCATAAAGGAAGCTGTGAATTACCCCAGCCACCTTTACTTACATTGGTAGTATGTTGCTCCACAAATACAGTATATTCCTGATTATCCAAATAGTGTGGGGGAGATGGACATGGATTTTATTCAGATAATCAGGAGTTTGGATAATTGAGAGGGCAGGAGCCATTCAGCCCCAGGATTTCCTCCCTTGCCTCTGAGAGCTTGATGTTGTCGTCCTCCTAGTAATGCCCCTCGGGGATCTCTGCTCTGTTATCCAAATTTCCACATTATCTGAGTCCCTTTCTTGTCCCCCACCATGAGAGAGCTGCCTTCTGCAGCATGTGTCCCATGCTGAGGGACAAGTAAGGGATTTGGATGATGCAGAGTTTCAAATAATAGGATTTCAGATAAATGATAGACCCATTGATTTCAGTGAGGCTACACATTGTGAGTAAGGGTGGCAGAATCTGGCTCTGTACAGTTACAATTAAAACAATCTAGCTTTTATGATCTGTGATCAAAAGTAACTGGCTGGCTATGGTAGACCTGGATAGCTAAGGCTATCTATTAGGGCACTGCTGGGGGTGCAGGGTGCAGGTAGTTTGGGTGCCTGGCTTGAGAAGTGTAACTTTGACTTTGCAGTTCCTGGCATTCTAATCTTGGGGCAGTTTGTGCGGATGGTGGTGGGTTATTTTGTTTTTTCACTTTACCATTTTTGAAAAGCACTATTATGTCAGACCACTGATACGCGCCTGCAACCGTAACTCCATCTTAATAAGGGTTTTGAGGGAGATTTCCTTAGTTTGGTCATTGGACTGGGGAATGGAAGAGGCTAGGTAAGGGGGTGGGGGAGCTTTGTCACCCTGGCTTCCTGAAGCCTGCAGGAAGGGACTCTCACTAATCTACACCTTCTGTGAATCTTGGGAGGGGAGCCTCTCTCTTGTAGGCCTTATAAGGTGCACAAGAGTATGGGAATCAACTGCTGGGAGAGCCATGTGGTCTGGTGAGGAATCTCACAAGCCTTTATAATCCTTATGATTGTTAGGGTGGCCAAACTTCCCCCCTCACAGGCCTTGAGGTTTGTGGTTCCCTCATCCCTAAGACCTATGGGGTGACTGTAGGTCAGGGAGCGGGGCTACAGGGAGCTCTGGGGAGAGTGTATTTGTGCTCATGGCTTTTAGGGAGGGGGCTGCAAGGAGCAGTGAGGGCAAGGCAGGAGAGCTTAGCACTGCAGAAGGAAGGAAGGGGAAAGTACCTTCCCTGGCTTATGCAACAGATGAATCTCCTGTTGTTTACAGCAATGGGATTCCCTGCTGATGAACCACAGGTGGCTTGTTGAAAAAGGTAGTGAAGTGCTAATTCTAATGCTTCCTGCTTGACTTCTCCCCCCCCCGCTCCTGAGTATCCCTCTCCTCACCTGGATCCTGTGCTCCTGACAGCACCCCTCCCCCAAACATCCATGCCTCACCTAATCCTCATTTCTCCCCAAGGCCCTGTTCTCCCCCTCATTAGCCCCAGCCAGAGACCTGTTGCCTCTCAGGTCTTCATGCACCTGTGTCCTCTCTCCTGCACTCCACCCCCTAGAAACCTCATGACGTGGGGGTGAAGCCTGCCAGTTGAAGGAGGAGTCCAGGTGTGGAAGGTGTTCATGAGCAGCTTGCATGTAGGAGTCATTGTGGGGTGCACCAGCATCTTTACTGCCACCTCTCCCTGAGGAACCTCCTGTTATTCATCAGAGAGGAACCACAGAGCATGATCAGAGAACCTCTTGAGGTCCACGAGGTGGGAGATGGATGGGAGTGGAGCTTGAGGGGCAGGGGAAGGAGATCAATGGGGGCATTTCCCACTTCCTGCGGGAAGGGAGAAGCCCCCATTGAGTCTCCTCAGCCCCAGCTCCGGAAGCTGACCAGGCTCTTTGAGTTCTCCCCCTTGCTTCCACAAACCTGCATGAGGATCCTCAGCCTCTTTGCAGGTTTGTTGTAAGGACAAAGTCTCATTTCCGTTGACAAGCCTTCCAAGTCATGGAGTTAGGCAGTATGAGCTCTGTCTGCATAAGGAAAGGGGCTAGAGACAAGTTTGTTAAACACGGCCAGCTTAGGTCTCCAGCATTTGTGTGATGAGCTGTGCACTCAGGTCACCAGAACTGATATTCCTTAGCAGTGTTACTAAAGCCAATGTTAATTGCTCTGGTAATTTGAATTTAATCATCTACATTTTGCTCCGGGGCTCTAGATCTCAGCTAAGGGAATCCATACAAGTGGGTTAACTTGCCTTTTTTGCTATAAAGTGGGAAACAGACAAATATCATTAGAATATGTCTGGACTTGTGCTTAACAGCTCTAGTTTAGGGTTTCATAGTTCAGGAACAAGTTGTTAGACTTGCTTCAGATTTTATAGGAAAAAAGCTAATTTACATATTTGAGAACAATATACATAAAAGGTGGGGCTGAAATCAGGTTTATAACAGAAACTCAGTTGCTCTCTTAACTATGACACAATGGCTGTCACTGTTAATGATTCAGTGCTTGGTACATCTTCTCATGTACAGCTGTAAAATGTAACATTACAGTTAACAAAGTTATTATCATTGGCACCACTTATAGGAAATTTTGCTATCATGATTCAAATTTTCTTCATTTTATGTGACATTTCTAGTGTCACTGCACTTGTAACAGTGACTGTTGGAGATGGTGCTAATTGATAATTTAGTACATAGAGAATTTGCATATCTCTTGCAAAAATCAGGTATAGTTATTTAATAGAATTTATTTACTGATTTCTAGAATACTCATTTCTGAGTACAGAATCTGAGATGTGATACAAATTTTAAACAAAGTTTAAAACAAAACTGTGCCCAGTGCCCACAAGAACCAGAAGCTCTTACTAAGAAAAGAATTAAAACCAGAAAAGGAGAGCTGGTGCACCGTAGACAGTACAATGTTGTGCTGACCTAAATAGAAAGACTTAGCATTGAACCTTGGGAATCTGATGGACATCATCAGAGAGGATGATCCATAGACAAGGTCCCTGGTTAAAAACGGCCTTATCCCCAGAGGGGAACTTGGGATGGTGAGCACAAACAATGCAGGTGACCTCAGTTTTCTTGGAGAGACAGAGGGATATGCTAAAGTACTTTGTGCCAGCATTATGCTCTTTGGAAATGTAGGGTCAAATCCAGCCCAGGACAGCACAGCAAATGGAAGGAGACATGTAGGCTACTGCATTCTCCTTAATCGAGGAGAGACAATCTAGACCAGTTCAACAAATCGTGAATGATGCTGCAAGATATCATCATTCCACAGGAGCCTATTTAAGGGCCGCATCATGAAACAGTTCTGTCTTCTTAGTACAGTATATTATCACTGCACCTTGTTGCATACTGCGTATTTGATTATCGTTAGCTTTCCTTCTTTCTTTTTCTTAATTCTCCTGTTAAACAATGGGATAAGATGTATTTACAGATTGATAATGATGGTTTATACATCTTTTAATAACCTGGTTTATTTTCATGGAAGTTTGTGGTTTTCCTCTCTCTCCCATTGCCTTGTAAACACACATTGTATGGATGTACTCCATCTCCTGTTACTGTGTATCTTTTGAAGATCACTTGAAAGACAATCTAGAAAAAGTGCAAAGCACTAGTTATCAGTGCGATTGTAAAATATGTGTATGCATTAAAGACAAAGAAATGTATTAATAAAGCACTATGATAATCTTGACAGTGATTTTGTTTAAAACGAGTGTAGTTACATGCTGAACCTGTATAACATTAATGCTGCAGATGACAACCCAAGGGAGACAATTTGCTGACATTTGGCACCAGAGAAACCTGATTAAAATATTATTTCCATTCACCAAAGCAATGTTTTAAGTAACAGAATCTGTTATAACATATAAAAATGTTAATAGAAAACAATTACCTATCCGAGAGGGTGTTTGGAAAGCACTCTGAGATCCTTGTACTAAAAGGTGCAATATATGAATAAACTAATTAGTAATAATTATTTTATTGCCTAGTGGATGAAAAAGTGATTGCAGTTAATTTTGAAGTGTTTATTTCTTTGCAGCCTTTGAAAATGCACTGCAAGAGTTGTGCACTGGTAACCAGTTCTGGACACCTTTTGGGAAGCAAACAAGGCAACAGAATCGACCAGACTGAGTGTGTAATACGAATGAACGATGCACCCACTCGAGGTTATGGAAAAGATGTTGGAAACAAAACTAGCCTTCGAGTCATTGCACATTCTAGTATCCAGAGAATTTTGCGAAACCGCAATGAACTGTTAAATATGAGTCAAGGTACTGTGTTTATCTTCTGGGGTCCCAGCAGCTATATGAGAAGAGATGGAAAAGGTTTGGTTTATAATAATCTGCAATTGATGAATCAGATACTACCTCAGTTAAAAGTATATATGGTTTCTCGGCACAAGATGCTTCAATTTGACGACCTCTTCAAACGGGAAACTGGCAAAGACAGGTGAGGAAATTTATGAGGGTACATTTGGGGAAATTTGCATAGCTGCAGAATAATGGCGTTTACACTCATCAGCCTCAGATTAACTCAGACGGAACATCATGCCCGTTAAATGTGCTTGTGGTTGTAATATGATTTTACATGCTAAATAACACTTAGCTTTTGTAACTTAAATCCAAAACGTGTATCAAAATCATGTGCATTGAATATTTGTCCATTAACTCATAACACTAAAACCAGTGTGTGTTGTATACAATTAAGCAAGGGAATTGCAGAAAGAAACAGCCAGGAGATAGACACTGTGTTTTAAATCTCACTTTGGGCTAATAAACCTGAAAGCAGTTTTTTACTGGTTTTGAAAAATCAGAATTGATAGGTTTTACTTTCATATGGAGGAAATGCTACTGTTCTGTGAATTATAATGGCTACTTATTGAATTTAAGCATTCTTGAACATTGCTGCTGTAAAGCTTCCTGTAAAACAAATACACACTTTTTTCATATATTAGTTGCTTCTGAACAGTTCATCTTCCATTTACAGCTTGGAAAAAAGAAATTGTTATTATAGTTAGTCTCATAAAGATGTATCTGTAACTTATAGACTGATCTTCAAATGAAATTTTTAATAAGTGACCCACTGCAGGACTGGAGTATTTATATGCATAATGTAGGTAAATAGGCTTTTAAGCCAAGGACTTTCTCAAGAAAAATACATTTGTTTTTATTTTTATGAACTCATTATATTTGTACACACTAAATATGCAGCAGTAAAAATGGTACAAGGTCCCCACTTCGATACAAATGAAGAGGTGAGTACACAGTGCAGTAAGCCATTGTGAACAGTTTTCCTCACCTAGAAACTTACTGCAAAGTCCAGCCCATACAGCTGGTCTTAGTACTGGGGCAACCACAGGGGATGTGGGGGATGTGTCCTGTCTTCGAGGCTGCGGGGCAGGGGCAGAGGCAGAGCCACTCCATGGCAGACTATTACACCCTATTGGCTGAAGAGACCGTCTTTTGGTTCTGTGTTTGTACAGCACCTAGCATAATGGGGGCATGGTCCATGATGGGGGCACCTAGGCGTTACCACAATACAGATAATAAATAATAACGATAGGTAGCTGTCCATGCCCTTTACAAGCCCACACTGTAAGGTAAAGGACCACTGCAACCAAGATACAATGTATCCTCTGGCCCCAGCCTACCTTGTGCATTGCTACCTAAGAGTCCCCCATAGGCTAGGACTCTCAACGGGGGATGCAGTACTGCCCCCTAAATCTTGCCCCTCCTACACTGGCTCCACTGTCAGGGAATCCTCAGTGGCTCTGGAGGTGTGAACCGGTCTTGCCGGTATAAGCATAATGTAACTATGTCTAGGCCTACTTGTTAAAGATCCTCTCATGTTCACCTTAGAAGTGGTGGCAGGGCCTCTCTTCATTCACTGTAATTGCAGTGGGAAACGACAGCTGTAGTGGGGGGGAGGGGGCGGCTCTACCAGCACAGAAAAAACTCTTCCCTTTCCTAGTTTGCTCAGCCAGAGCAGAGAAGAAGGGGAAGCTGACAATCCCCAGGGAACTGTGCATTTAACACTTTTTTGGAGGATGTATGGAATTAGCTGCATCCCCAGTATACAGGGGAGTGAAACTTAATAGCAAGTGTAATGAAGTGTCACTGTGGGCTAGATGGGGCATTTAGGCTCATGCTCTGCCTATCGGGCAATGCAGTGCTGTATTCTCCCAGTCACAATACCTCCCCTGATCCCCTCTTGCTCTAGAGAAAGTAAGATGTAGCACTGCTTTTTGAGATGCAGGATACGTCTTGCCCTGCTGTCTGGCCAGCTCTGCTGGCTACACACGGGGGAGGGTGGAATCATGCCTCCTCACTTGCAGTGGGGATATCCTGCACGCAGCAGAGATCTGAGCAGGCTCTTTGTGTGCACAGAGTGAGGGCTTTTTACGCCTCTGCAGTCACATCTGATCAGAGCTCTGTCTTGTCCTGTAGGAGAAGTGAAAACCTCCTGAAGGAATTTTGTCCTTTAATTACCCTATAGCTGAGTTTATTGGGAGCCCTGTTCTGGGCACCCTCAGCTCCCAGTGGGTACCAAAGGCACTCGGATCCTTGTAGCATTCAGTCTTACAAACAGGTTCTGTTGGTAATAAGAAGGTGCACATGCCACTGTACAAGAAATGCTCCTTTAGAGGACACCTCTGACCTACTTGAAGGACTAAGAAGATTAAAACAAGAGATGAAAATAAATGAAAAGGCAGCAGAAAGGAAGGAGGAAGGAAGATGAAAGGAAACATGGGCAGGAAGGAATTTGTAGAAAAAAGTCAATTACAGAGCTGTGGGTGCAGGAACAGAACATTGTGTAACCAGAATGTTCTCTACTCAGTGTACTTTTTTTTTTCCTATTGAGTACTACTGAGTTATTGACTGCAAAAAACAAAGGGGGAGAAATCTGATTGCAAGGAAGCAATAATCAAGCCATCCATTTCTGTCTTTAGTGTTATGAGAAAAAGGATAATTGGATGTATTGTGCTTTATTAAAAAAGGGGCTGATTTTTAAAACTGAAGGAGAACCTTCAGAAAATGTCACCAATGAAATAGTATGGCAAATGACAGAGGCTGCAGAGCAATATACTTTGATATTACAAAGTAACTGTACTTGAAAATAACTTTGTAATTGAATAAGGGTACATTAAGAAAATATGATTCAGAACCAATATTTCAGTAATTAGATAAAGGAAGCGTAAATGAAATAACTTCAGGAAGAGTATTTCCATAGAGATTATAAATGAGATTTTGGTGGAGCAGAAAGGCCTTTAATTGTAATTTAGTGTGCACTACAGAATTATCAGCACAGTGTGTTAGTTCATCATGTAAAAGAATATCTGATAATTCCCCCTAATAAGCACATGACAGCTCTTTGTATTCTTTCATTACAGCTGATTAGAAGTAAAAACAGTAGATATTCTTTTGTTGGACTCTTGTTAAAATCTTTTATGAAAAGGCAAGACAATGTAACCCTATTTCTATACTGTAATACTGCAGAGGTGGCATCTAGAGAGATGGAAGCATTAACAGTGGTACTTGAACAGGTTTTCAGATTTAAATTCTTTATGCTCATTGATTGTCTTTTATTTAACGTTTGTTTAAATTCCTTTATTTTTCCTATTTGTTGAAACCTCGAGAGTTACAGTAACTAACATCATAATTGTCTAACCTAAAAGGGCCAGACCCTTCTGACAAATGCCCTGGGTTTTCTGAGCTGTGCAAACCCTAGACATTGGGGGAATCTTGTCTGTTGAGAACAATCTATTTTCCCCAAATCTCTCACTTCTGTGCCATGCAAACAAATTCTCCTCCTTGAATCCTTATCCCTTCCCCCTCCACCTCTGAGCTGGAAAATTATTATTTGTATTGCAATAGTGCCTACAGGCCCCAACTGAGATTAGGGCCCCATTGTGCTAGATGCTGCCTATACACATAGTGAGAAACCACTCCCTGCCCCAAAGAGCTTACACTGTAAATAGACATGGCAGAACATAGGGTAGGAGAAAGGAAGTATTACTATCCCCATTTTACAGATGAGGACTCGAGGCACAGAGAAATTAAAGGTCAGATTGAGGAACAATTCCTCACATGAGCAGTCCCATTGATTTTTGCACAAGTAAACTTTAATGTAAATTGGCCTACCAATATGAGTAAGGGGCTTGGAATCTTGCCTTAAATGACTTGCCCAATGAGACACAAGAAGTCATTGGTAGAGCCAGGAATTTGACCCCAATCTCTTGAGTCCCCAGCCAGTGCCTTAACTAGAAGACTGTCCTCCTTCTGCAATAATCTTCATGATCAACTGCTGGTGGAGTGAGGTGTGGGATGGCACGGATGGACTCCAGCAGTCTCAACCTCATACACATCAGAGGTGGTGGTAAAGTGTTGTTTAAAACTCTCCCCCTATGCCAGAAGCCATAGAATGCTAGAAAATGGGCCCTGATAGCTGTGGAATTTTAGCTGGAGAGAGATTGATTTTTCATGGCATGAAATTCTCTGCCCAAATACCATGATGATGGGTGCATACATGGATGGAAGGAAGGGCTGCTGTCTTTACTGTTCTCCCATAGCGGACAAGTCCATTCCTGAGGTGAGTCAAGTAGACTAATTTATGCTAGCCATTGGCCTCCTCATCAATAGTAAGGGGTTGAGGCTAATAGAGGTATAAATGGTTCCTTGGAAGCCTCAGTAATGAACCTATAAATCAAATAAACACCCAAGAGTGGAATCAGATATACCCCTTTTAAAGACTGTTCCCAGTTTACAGATGTTCAGTTAGCCAAGGAGGAGCCAGCCAACCCAGGATATCTGGGTTACTCCTCAAATGGAATCCCACATTGTTGTTCAAAGATCCCAGATGCCATTAATGACACTCGGGCTAGGTGGAGTCAGAGTCTCTGATCTTGTGCAAGAGGTGTCATGTTATGCTAATGGATGGCAATGGCTTTAGTCACTGAAGAAAGGAGATTCCCTGCTAAGAATCACAATTAGAATTCTCAGGCATGGAACACAGAGTGGCTGAGATATGTCCACAGACCAGCACTTGCAAAAGCTCATTTTGGCTGGATTGAGCTCCTGGGGCCAAATCCTGGTCCCACTGAAATTCTGTGCATGTCTACATAGCTCTCGGCAGCGAGCCTCTGGGGTCAACAGATCTGGGCTAGTGCTAAAAATAGCTGTGCAGAAAATGCTTTGAAGTTGCTTGGGTGGGGACGTGCTCGGGTCCCACAGCCACAACTTCAAACCACTGTCTACACCGCTATTTTTAGAGCACTAGTGCAAGCCCTGAGCTGAGAGGCTTGCTGCCAGAGGCTGTGTAGACATACATAATGGGACCAGCTCTAAATGGCATCCTGTGTCGCCATGCATTTGGGTGATGGCTTCCATTAAGCAATTATCGATACAGGGTATTTTTCTGGTAGTTAACTAGTATCAGTATATAAACACAGGTTTGGAGGCTACAGTTGCTTAAGAAAAATGTCACAAAAATATTAATGTTTCTGTGCCCAAAATTAATGACAGCAAAAGAGGTGTTGGTTGCCCAATTTTCATAACCTTTCACAACAATGGAGAAAACTGCCCAGAAATTACTTTAGATATTTCAAGAATGATTTGTCATCCTGGAAACTTAATTATGTTTTTACTTTTAGGAAGATATCCAACACTTGGCTTAGCACAGGATGGTTCACAATGACTATCGCATTAGAACTCTGTGACAGGATAAATGTTTATGGCATGGTGCCACCAGATTTCTGCAGGTAAGATGTATTTTGGAAGCATTATTTGCTAGCCAGGTTGAACATTGGAGATAAATATTGAAATCTTTAATTTTGTTTCCAAGAAATATGTCTACAGTCCTCTTGAAGCAATTAATTAACATGTCCCAGGATCTGGTTCAAGAAACAACAAACAGCATTTAATTCTGGTATATAAAATATTAAATGTTTTTGTTCGTACAGTGGGAGAATTAATCCATCTTGTTGATGTCTTTTAGCCTTTGAATATTTATCAGCTAAAACTAATGCAATAATTGGCATGAAATTAATCTGGAAAATATTAGTTTCAATCCTCCTCTGAAGGGATTTTTCATTATAGAAGGAGGGAAGCTCTGACAGTTTGACTAGTTTCTAAACTGAACCATTTATGAAACCAAAATTAAGATCCCGGTTCCCCTGACATGTAAGCCCTACACATCTGGAAAACTGGCCACCTACATTGCCCCCACAAAATCTGAATTTGCAAATGTAAAATGGATGATTGCTCTTGTTATTAGCTATCTTGTGCATGCAAATGTGTTTTGCAGGTGAAAGAGGCAGCACTCAGATTTTTGCCAGTGAAACTGGCTAGTGTTAGAAAGTTTGGTACATAACATAAAAACATAAGAACATAAGAACGGCCGTACTGGGTCAGACCAAAGGTCCATCTAGCCCAGTATCCTGTCTACCGACAGTGGCCAATGCCAGGTGCCCCAGAGGGAGTGAACCTAACAGGTAATGATCAAGTGATCTCTCTCCTGCCATCCATCTCCACCCTTTGACAAACAGAGTCTAGGGACACCATTCCTTACCCATCGTGGCTAATAGCCATTAATGGACTTAACCTCCATGAATTTATCCAGTTCTCTTTTAAACGCTGTTATAGTCCTAGCCTTCCCAATCTCCTCAGGTAAGGAGTTCCACAAGTTGACTGTGCGGTAACAGGTGTAAGTTCAATGAGAGGTAACTTGCTACAAAAATCGATATTGAGCCATTTCACAACTACAGTTTATCTTGGGCCACATTCAGTGTTCATATGCAACAAGGGGAAGGGATTCAGTACAACTTTTCATCGCTCACTCCCCATTTGAACTAGTGGGTACTTCATTGAATTTTCTGCTGCAAACTCACTGACTTCACTGAAGTCAGGTTTATCAGTAAAATAACTTTCAGTGGCAAGGAAAGCAAGATTACAGAGATGCGTTGGCTCATTGTATCATGGAGGTAGAGTTTCTTTTGTTTTAATTCTTTTGAGCATTAAAAATGACCATTCAAGACCTTGCATTTGTGCTGACCATGAAGAAGTAGCAGCTTATTGACAGGATCTTTACCATAGGCAATGTCAACACCAAATTGTACATGGTGAGAATCTTTATGTATTTCTAACAGAACATTAATGACTGTAACTTGGGCTGTCCCTACCAGAGCTCCTAAATTTTACAAAGAGCTCTTCAAGGAAAGCATCAGACGAGATCAGATACTACGGATATCATACACAACTTCCATTATATCCGCCTACTTGAGCTCTCCTGCCAATTCAATTGGATAAGACCTTCTTCACTTCCTACTCTAAAACTGTAAAGTTCCTGGCACCATTATAATGGCTGCCATGTCCTATCCCAGAAGTGGTTGCATAATGGCGGTAAGTGAAGCGATCCTTATGAATTTATAAGTCATAAATCTGCATACTACTTTAATTCAGTGTAAAGCAAGGCAACCCCTTTGAGGGAAAGATTAAGTCTGCTTTGTTGGGGTACATGCATATAGATAAAAAAAAAGGGGCAATCCCTGGTCCAGAGAGCTTAACATCTTCACTATGACCATGTGTAAAATGTTCATAAGAATTAATGTACTGTAACAAAGTGGCATAATATTGAATTATAAGATACTATAATATTGATATTTGATTTAGTTAGGGATTGGTTCTGCTTTGAGCAGGGGGTTGGACTAGATGACCTCATGAGGTCCCTTCCAACCCTGATATTCTAGGATTCTCTACTGTTTATATAAGAACATAAGAATGGCCATATTGGGTCAGACCAATGGCCCATCTATCCAATATCTGGTCTTCTGGCAGTGGCTGGTGCCAGATGCTTCAAAGGGAATAAACAGAACAGGGCAATCATCAAATGATCCAGTCTCAGCTTCTGGCAGTCAGAGGTTTAGTCACACCAAAAGCAGGTGTTATGTCCCTGACCATCATGGCTAATAGCCATTGATGGACCTATCGTCCATGAATTTATCTAATTCTTCTTTGAACCCAGTTATACTTTTGGCCTTCACAACATCCCCTGGCAACCTTTAACCTGTTACTGAGTGACCAGAGAGGTTGAAGTGTTCTCCTACTGGTTTTTGAATGTTATGATTCCTGATGTCAGATTTGTGTCCATTTATTCTTTTGCGTAGAGACTGTCCGGTTTGGCCAATGTACGTGGCAGAGGGGCATTGCTGGCACATGATGGCATATATCACATTGGTATATGTGCAGGTGAATGAGCCCGCCACGCCATCAGGGCAACTCCCACCTTTTCATGTTCTCTGTATGTGTACATATATCTCCTTACTATTTGTTCTGTTCTATGCATCCGATGAAGTGGGCTGTAGCCCACGAAAGCTTATGCTCAAATAAATTTGTTAGTCTCTAAGGTGCCACAAGTACTCCTGTTCTCCTTGTCCACATGTGTGTTGACCCCCTCAAAGAATTCTAATAGATTGGTGAGGCATGATTTCCCTTTACAAAAGCCATGTGGACTCTTCCCCAATTTATCATGATCATCTATGTGTCTGGAAATTCTGTTCTTTACTATTAGGGTTTTTTTTTTTACAAAATTGGTGTTACATTAGCTATTTTTCAGTTATCTGGTACAAAGGCTGATTTAAGTGACAGATTACATACCAAAGATAGTAGTTCTGCAGTGTCATGTCTGAGTTCCTTTGGAACTCTTGGGGTGAATACCATCGGGTCCTGGTGACTTATTACTGTTTAATGTATCAGTTTGTTCCAAAAACTCCTCTATTGACACCTCAAGCTGGGACAGTTCCTCAGATTTGTCACCTAAAAACAATGATTCAAGTGTGGGACTCTTGCTCACATCCTCTGCAGTGAAGAGCAATACAAAGAATTCATTTAGCTTCTCTGCAATGGCCTTATCGTCCTTGAGTGCTCCGTTAGCACCTCGATCACTCAGTGGCCCCACTGATTGTTTGGCAGGCTTCCTGCTTCTGATGTACTTTAAAAACATTCGCTGTTTAGTTTTTGTCTCTTTTGCTAATTGCTCTTCAAATCCATTTTTTGGCTGCCTAATTATACTTTTACACTTGACTTGCCTGAGTTTATGCTCCTTTCTATTTTCCTCAGTAGGATTTGACTTCCAATCTTTAAAATATGTCTTTTTGTCTCTAACCGTCTCTTTTACTCTGTTTAACCACGGTGCCATTTTTTGGTCCTCTTACTCTTTTTTTTTTTTGTAATTTAGGGTATACATATAGTTTTAGCCTCTTTTACATACATGGTTAATATTTATAGTTCAGTGAACAAATTATGGTACAGCGGTTCATTTACCTGCTCATAAAGATGTGAAAAAGCAGTTTAATAAGCAGTAGAATTTAATCTATCCTTATTAAAGGGCACAGCTACATCTGTGCTGTAGATACTAACTCTGGGGAAGGTCATCTACAAAGGCCCTTGAGAAGAACCCAGTGCTCCCATAAATACAACTTGAACTGTCTGATTTGTCCTTAGTCTGCTCATTAAATTATGAAATATTGTAGCAAATAAAGCGTGATTCTTATTTTCCAATAAATGGTTACAAAATACAGTCTAGTGCCATTAACTATTGTCTACTACTAGAAATGTGCACAAAAGGCTGGACTTTAGAGTTGTGTTCCTGTGGTACATTAGGAACAATGTATTTTAGGTCCAACACAGTATAAATTTGCAATAAAGTTTGTTTTCATTATTTTCCAGATTAAAATCCTTCAAATGTATTGCTGATTATTTAGTTGAATAGCAAATACAAATATATTAAAATTGAATGTCTAATATTCATATTTATATTCAGAATTAAAATAAAAACAAATTTACAATTCCTCTTACCCATTTTTTAAAGTATTAATTAGCAGAGTAATGATCACCGTCATGGAACTAAATTAATATCACATCTGTAATGTGAAGGACATTTCAGAGGAATCATAAATATTACACAGTTGGTTCTGTAAAAATTATTAGCTTAAGATAATTAACCAAACTTCTTTCTACCAGGACAGGGGGAAACAAATTCTGTTTGAAGGAATTTTTCCTCAGAATGAGAAGATTTTCATTGTCAACATGAACAACACTTAGGTGTATAAATCATTTTGTACATTTACTAAATTTAATATTTACGTGTGTTGGTAGTTGCAATTGAAAGTGGAATGGTTGACCTGAGTATTGTGATTTTCTGGTGTTATGCAATAGATTCATACGTAAGATAGAATAGTTCACCTTGGTCATAATATTACTGAATTTTATCAAAAGCGAAGGGTGTGTCTACACTGCAATTAAACACCTGCAGCTGGCTCGTGTCAGCTGACTTGGACAAAGGGGCTCGCGATAAGGGGATGTTTCACTGCGATGTAGATGCTTGGGCTGGAGCCCGAGCTCTGAGATCCTCCTCTCTTGTGGAGTCCAACAGCCCGGGCACCAGCCCAAGCCCGAACGTCTACATCACAGTTAAACATCCCCTTAACCTGACTCCCACGAGCCTGAGTCAGCTGACAGGGGCCAGCTGTGGGATTTTAATTGCAGTGTAGCCATACCCTAAGGTGTGTCCATAAGGTTGCTCTTATGCCACTCTATGTGAGTATCTGACTTACAAATTGCTGCTTGGATCGGGATGTGCTGAAGTTATTGAGTATTCCAGTAGTAAGATGATAACCTGCTTAAGTCCCCATAGCAAAGGTTTAGCACAGAGAATACACTACTCTTGCCTCAAAAGAAAATTAAGGAGGAAGATCACCTACTC